AGCTCTGGGTGTGCCCTGTGCCCGCTATCGCTGCCGCACACGCGGGGTGATTGGAGCGGTGGGAAGGGCGGMTGGGAGCGATTTCTGTGTCCCCAGGCGGCAGCGATGCTCCGTGTGCCCTGTGGGGACAGCAGCGGCTCTGGAGATGGGTTCTGTAGGGTCTGGTGGGGTCGTGGCTGAGAGACCTGGCTGGATTGAGCCGGAGCAGATTTGGGGTCTGTCGCTTCCTCGTAGGGGCAGCACTGATCTCTGCGATTTGATGACCCGGGACAGGAGCCGAGGGAACGGCTGGAGCTGTGYCGGGGGAGATTTAGGTTGGATATTGGGAAAAAGAGGGTGTTGGGATACCGAAGAGGCTCCCCAGGGAATGGTCATGGTCCCAAAGCTGCCAGAGCTCCGGGAGCGTTGGGACAGCGCTGCCAGGGATGCACAGGAAGGATTGTTGTGGGGTCTGGGCAGGGCCAGGACTGGGCTCTTGTGATCCTCGGCAATTCCGGGCATCCCGTGACGCACCGAGGAGGGCAGGGATGCTGCGGAGCGGGGCGGTCCCCAGGGATGCGCTGCGGGGCCGCGGCGGCGGCTGGCTCGCCTTCCTCCCATCCTGCCGCCCCTATCCCCTCCTCCCGGCCCTCCTCCCCCTCCTCCTCCTCCTCCTCCTCATCCCCATCGCTGCCGTCCCTCCTCCCGGCCGCCAGGTGCCCCTCGGCCGCCGCCGCTCGCTCCGTGTTCCGGGGCGGCCCCGGCAGCGCGGCCCGGCAGGTGGGTACCGGGAGGGTCCTGTCCCTGTCCTGTCCCTGTCCCCATCCCTGTCCGGTCCCTGTCCCCATCCCTGTCCGGTCCCTGTCCCCGTCCCTGTCCTGTCCCTGTCCCCATCCCTGTCCCCGGGATGCGGTGGGATGCGGTGGGAGGATGCGGCGGGCGCTGCGCAGGCGATGCCCCGCGGCTGCGGTTTGTGCCGGAGGTCCCCGCGCTCCTCCATTTTCTCGTTTGGATTATAAAAAAAAATGTGGATAACGGGATAACGGGGCTTTGCTGGAGGYGGGCATCTAATTTTTAATCGTTTTCGGGCTGTTCTGCGCCGGGTTTTTAGGCACGTGTGTTTATTGTAGAGGCTGCTTTCATTCAGGGCCTCATTGCTGCTGGTGATGCAAATTATAATATCAATTACATATAATAGGTAATAATATTTAATAATATAGGAAAAGACATAATTTTGTATATTATTAGATGTTATTTATTTGTTGTTTATGTGTGTATTATACATAATTATTTGTTATTTATTACTCCATAATTATTGCTGCTTTTAAAATTATTTTGGCCTTTCTAATGTGCGTTTGTTGTGTATGGTAAGGACAAATTACAGAATTGTTTGGGCTGGAAGGGACTTTAAAGCTYATCTTGTTCTATGGGCAGGGACATCTTCCACTGTCCCAGGGTGCTCCAAGCCCCATCCAGCCTGGCCTTGGGCACTGCCAGGGATCCAGGGGCAGCCACAGCTTCTCTGGGCACCCTGTGCCAGGGCCTGCCCACCCTCCCAGGGAACAATTTCTTCCCAGTGTTTAATATATACCTACTCTCTTTGAGTTTAAAGCCATTAAATGTTGATYTTTGATGTGCAATTGGAAGAAAGCTCCCTGCTTTCTTTCTAAGGGAGCTGGAGCTGGGTCAGKGGGGTTTAGGTTGGATATCAGGGAAAGGTTCTTCTGTMCCCAGAGGGTGCTGGCACTGCCCAGGYTCTCCAGGGAATGGGCACAGTCCCGRGGCTKCCAGAGCTCCAGGAATGTTTGGACAGCATTTTTGGGGTGTCCATACAGGGCCAGGCTCTGTGATCCTTGTGGGTCCCTTCCAGCTCAGGATATTCTGTGATTCTTTCCAGGGGATGGAGAAATCTTTTTCAGGAGTAGGTGTGGAAAACACCTCAATATTTTCCAAGCTGGTTCCTCTTCTTTCCACCAGCCTTCTCCAGCTGSTCAATCCCTTTTGTCACACCAGAAGTCTCCCTGCCCTGAGTCTGGACCTTGAGCACAGGGATGTGAATGGAAAAGCCTGCTCAGAGCAGTTAATCCCACCCTTCTTTCATCTCCCCATGTTCCCAAGGCCCATTAAAGCATAATGGTTTTGTTTACCCAGCCTCCAGTCATCCCTGGGAACGCTCCAACAGGCCAAACAGGAAGGTTGGGCTTTGCAGCTGTGACTCCTCATCCCGTGAAGTCCCTTTRGTGCTCCCCAGCCCTGGGAGCGAGGCCAGCGTTGGGCAGGAGGTGCCAGTGGTGCCTGGGCTGTTGCACAACTGGAAACTCCTGTATCCCAAAGCCTGACTCAACTTCTTTTGATGCACTTCCCTGACTGTTCAGGGGCAGCGAGACACGCATTTCATGGAAAGGCATTGTATGAACGAGGTGTAGAATAGAGTAATGTGTATTTGGGGGATTTTGGCAATATCTTATGTGCTGTAACTTTGTTCTGGCAGTTTGTCTGAGAAATTTTTGTATTGCACAGTGAGAGAGGGAAGATGTATCAAAGAAAAACTGCTGAAAAACCCAAAACCTTTATGGACACATATTCTTATTCTTTTGCATCCAAAAGATTTGGAGCTTTTGGTGCCAGTAAGGATGAAATGCAGTGAGCAGAGTAAAGAGATTTTCACAGGGATCCTCTGCAGAGAAGGATCTGTCAGGATCAAGCAGCCCCATGGAGAACCAGCTCTGCCCACTCGGGGCTGGGATGGTCACGGTGCAAAGCTGTGCTGGGTTGTGCTGACGCTGCCAAAAGCTCGAGCTCCCACTCCCTTTATCTTTCTGATCGCTGGTGTCCTGCTGTCCCCAGGACAGGATGCTGTTCCCGCTGCCCCTGCGTGCAGCCTGCAGCCTGCTGGCCTGGTTCTGCCTCTACAAGTGGTTCTGCCACCGCTACCGGCACCGCAGCCTCGAGTGGAGCTGCAGGCTGGTCACGCTGACCCACGGCATCCTGGCCACCTGTCTGTCTGCTTACATCGGCTTCATTGATGGCCCCTGGCCCCTGAGCCACCCAGGTGAGTGAGCAATGGGGGATCCCAGCTCGCCCAGCCGGTGATGGGGCTCTCCATCCACCCCAGAGGGTGATGTGGGCTCTCCATCCACCCCAATGGGTGATGGGGATCCTCCATCCACCCCCCAATGGGTGATGGGGGCTCTCCATCCACCCCAACGGGTGATGGGGGTTCTCTACCTCGCCCAATGGGTGATGGGGCTCTCCATCCACCCCAGTGTGTGATGGGGTTCTCCATCCACTCCAATGGGTGATGGGGTTCTCCACCTTTCCCAATGTGTGATGGGGCTCTCCACCCACCCCAGTCCCCAGCCCGCTGGATGGATGATGCGGTGCCATCTGAGCTGCTCTGTGGTGGAAAGCCCCAGAGGAACGGAGAGCCTGGTACTGGGTTTTGCTGCTGTAATGGCCCTCCCCAGCTGCAGTTTGGCACAGCGTGTGACCTTTTGTGTGGCCATTACGTGTGTGCAGCTGCCRCACTAACAACTGTGGGATTGTCACTCGGGGGATTTTGGTGGCCGAGCTGCCACCAGTGCGAGCCTGCCAGGTGAATATCTGCAAGTGACTGAGACACTGACTTTGCTTAGGGTTTTTTTGCATGTAAAGGTGTTTATTGTGAAGAAGCTTCGTATTTTATAAGAATTTAAACAATTAACAATTAGTTTCTAGTTGCATACAATGTATATAGTAATGGGTAAAGCTTGTCCTTCTTTTGTTCTTTTTTAAATTTCTGTCTTTTTTTTATGGCTTTTGGTTTTTTGTGACCTGGCCTTTTCTTATTTAATTGTATCTGTTTACCCAGAGTTTTTTTGTTCATCAAGGCAAACAGATTTTTGTTGTCTGAGGCTTGCACCCCCACCAATATCTCTTCCCTGTCCCACATCCCACTCGCTGTCTTCACCCTTTAAATTARTTTCTGGTGTTTTTCTGTTCCAGGCTCACCCAACACGACCCTCCAGGTGCACGGGCTGTGCCTCAGCTTGGGCTACTTCATCTTCGACCTGTGCTGGTGCGTGTACTTCCAGACGGAGGGTGCCCTGATGCTGGCCCATCACCTGGTGAGCATCGTGGGCATCGCGGGCTCGCTGGCGCTGGGCGAATCTGCTGCCGACGTCAACGCCGTCATTTTCGGCAGCGAGATCACCAACCCGCTGCTGCAGGCGCGCTGGTTCCTCAAGGAGCTGGGTCGTTACCACACCTTCACGGGGGACGTGGTGGATTTCCTCTTCGTGGTGCTCTTCACCGGCGTGCGCATCGGCGTGGGCGCCTGGCTGATGTACTGCGAGCTGGCCTCGCCGCGGCCCCGCTGGTACATCAAGCTGGGCGGGGTCATCATGTAYGTGGTGTCCTGGGTGTTCATGGTCAGCATCTGCCGATTCGCCCGCAGGAAGAGCATGAGGAAATACCAGGCTTGGAGGAGCCGCCGGAGCCGCGAGCTGGGCTTGAAAGCCAACGGGCATCTCAAAAGCCACTGAGAGGATGCTGAGTGAAGACTCSCTCGAGTTCCCCAGCTGCCAAGGAGGGGCATTGTGCCTGAAATGCCACGTTTGGGAGAGGAGCCAGCGCACGATAGCAGCTCTGGGGCCAATTTATCCCTGGCGTAACTCCACTGAGATTTGTGGAGCTATGCCACGGACTCGCTGCGTGCGCGGGGTTTGGCCTGGCAGAGGCTGGCTCGGTGTGTGCTGAGCACAGCCTGAACGCTGAGTGAAAGAAGGGCTAATTTTATAGACTAAACATGACTAGTGCAGCAGTGCAGATGTAAATAGTGCTGTCTGCAGCCAGCTCCTTCGGGAGCTTGGCACAGAGGTGCAGGTGACACTAGGTCCCCATGTTTGGTGTCCTGTGCAGTTTAGGCAGCTAGAGTGACTCTGTGCTGGTAGGAAGGAGCGTGTTCTAGTGTTGAATCCAAGCTGGGATTCCTGGCTCTTCCACCACCTGGCTGTGTGACCTTGGGCAAGTCACACAGCTCAAATTCTGTGCCTAATTCCCCATTTGTGACTTGGGGGGGATGGAGCTGATCCATCTGTGATGCACTTTGAGATTTTCACTTGAGAGGTGCTATATAAATGCAAAATGATGGTTGTTACCTGGTCTTGGTTCATTATCCCTGAGTTTCCTTTGGAAGAAATTACTTTGGTGGTCGAGCTAGAGTGAGACTCTAGAAAAAAAAAATACAGTATTTTAGGTAGGTTGTTGTTTCCTACCCTTTCTAACTCCTTTTAATAACTTATTTATTAACATAAATKTCTTTTTCTGTAGTGTCCAGAAGCTCTAAATGGCACTGGCGCCATACAGGACAAGGTGCTCTGTGAATACACCCAAAGACACAGCCTCAGAAGGGAAACTTTCCTGATTTTTCCCTCTTCATCCCTGACTGTTAAAACTCCCCTCCAAACCCTGCTTTGAGCTCCTTGGGTGACCAGCACACTCCATTATGAGAAGCCCCATCAGGACTTGCCAGGGGTTTTCTTGCTAAYGAGCCAAGCCCTGATTTTATCTGCAGAACCCCCAAATTCCCTCTGCTGTGCCCCAAATCCAAACTGGGATTTCTGGTTGCCCAGCTCCAAATTTGCCCACTGGAAGCTGCAAACTGACCTTGACTCTCCTTCATCTGAATCGATGCCTTGATCCCTGGGCTTTGATTCCCCTCTGTCTCCCTGACCKGATCTAAATCACTTTATAGAAATGAAGATTTAGAGGGTCAGAGGGATTTATTTTGCAGCTTAGTATATAAAGAAGTGAACAGGCCCAGAATTTGGTCTTTTTAAAGCAAAAAAACAACCTGATAGAGAGAAAAAATCAGCATTATTTATTTGGTCCTATTTGCAGGGAAGAACCATGGCCAGCTGGCAGCTTCTGGAGTTTCTTTCACTGCATGTTCTTAAGCTGTTCCTTTGTTTTTGTCGGGATTTTGAGCATTTCCTTTGAGCCTCCAGTGCAGCTCAGGTGCCCCTCCTGCTTCAGCCTTGCCTGCTGCAGCCAAAGACCCAAAGAACACCCCAAAAAACCCCTTCAGATGAGCAAAGCCAACTGATGAGCAAGAAAACCTGACTCATTGAGCACTACCAAGCCTTGAAAGGAGACAAGAAAGGCTGYCTGGGGCCTGCTGGTTCTTTTTCCCAGCTCTGCTGCTCTTTTGAGCACATCCAGGAGCCTTTTTGCCTCAAGTTAACCCACTTTGGGGAGTGGGTCCAGTCTTACCTACCTCGTGGGGTGTTTCCATTTAGCACMAAGCCACCCAGGATGGACTCTCGGTGGTTTGTGTCACGCTGTGCTGTATAAAAGTTGCTTTGAGTGAAGCACTTCCCGCTATGAGCCATCAGCAGCGCTTTGTCACCTGGATGTGGCACTTCCCAGCATCCCAAAAACACGATTTTGGTGTTTTGCAAAGGTGCTTGAGGGTGGGAGTCAAAGGGAGTGAGCTGCACATGCACATGAAGATCAGCTCTGCTGCTGCTGCTTCTTCACAGGGAACCCCAAGGTGCAGGAAAGGGGTCTGGAGGGTTTTCCCCAAGTCAGGATTGCAGRAAATCTGGAGCCAAAAGATTCTGAGCAGCCAGCCTGGCCTGGAATGAGGCTTTCAGCAGCAAGTCCTGGAGRAATGGAGGTGGAAACAGGCTTGTCATTTCTGCTAAGCTGCCAACTGAGCTTTGCTGAGCAGCCCTGGTGGTTTGGGCTCTGAGTTTGCTGAGGGTTGGGATGCAGCTTAATGTGATTCCAGCCCTCGCCTGCCCAGGAGGATGAGGATGGCAGGGATTGCAGTGGCTGTGAGATATTTTAGAACAGAATGGTTGAGTGGTCCCCTGCTTTGAACTGGGGGAAACTTGGTTGGAAGAAGGAGAGCAGTGCTCAGTGTTGAGGCTTTAGAAATTTTAAAAAAAGGGCAATTAGGTCTGGCTTCAGGAGGCAGAGCAAGGCCTCCTAGTCCATTTAGAAGGCTCCAGGATAGAATTTTTGACCCAGAAGTACAAATTCCAAGCTGTGGAGCACAGGGTRGGACCTGTCCTCAGGCTAGCCCATAGAGGCTGGAGCAAACTGTGARAGGAGACTGCAGAACTAGTGTGAAATAATAACTTGTGTTGGAATTACTGTGTAATAGCAACTAATGTTCCACCAGTGAATGGTGTAGATGCTTTGTATTATRTTTTATAAAAATAAAGATTATTTAATTATATGAAGAATTCGTTTTTTCTCTTTGGATGCTGTTCTGAAATCACAGGTTGGATTCGATGGTGTTGGAGGGCTTTTCCAACCTAAAAGATTCAGTGTGTGATTGAGTAGTACAAAGCAAAAATGCTTCCTTTGTTTTCCTGTGTTTCCACACCATGAGATCTCATTTATTTACTAAATATTGTTGCCTGGGAAAGCCGTGTGGAGTTGTGCTGGTAAAGAACAGCCACCYTGCTTGCTGATGGCCACAGCCAGAGATCCACCACGCCAAAAGTCTCAGCTTCTATAAATAGTTAAGCCAATTTAGTTGTTTGCATGTAACCCTTAAGTCCAGCTCAAAATCCCTCAGCGCTGGGGAGCAGCTGCTGTGGAGAGCTGAGCCCTCTGGAGATGTTTTTCTCTTTCCAGAGCCCAGGCTGGGGTTGGAGGGGGCTCAGGGCCCACAAGGATTTGTGCTGGGACTTTGTTGAAGCTCTGAGAGAGTCCAGAAGCAGGGAAGAAAGTACAGCAGAGTTCTGAAGCTTTGCTTTAGAGCTGCAAGTGTCTTCCAGGTCTTTTGTGTMTTCAGAAGTGACAAAATCCAGCATTGTCAATGGTCAGAGGTGCTTTGTCTGTAAAAAGTGAAATCTGCCCCTCTACACCCAATTAATTTCATTTTTTATCATCCTATTATTTCTTTACAGGCAACCCTGCTGTCTGCCTTTTGCTTCTCCTGCAGGCCCTACAGTCGAGCTTTGTAAAATTAACCTCCTCTTTCAGTCCTCTGCCCTCTCTTTGTAGCCRAACTCCTTATTTGTACTTGAAGAAAATGGCAATTTTTTGATATTCAGGGCTTTATTCCCTTGCAGCAATAGTCCAAGCCCTGAAGTAAAAGCAGCATTTTAAATCTTTGAAATTTTCTGTTACATTAATGCCATGTCCAAGGAAATCAGTGCAGGGGCAGCTTGGCAGCTGATAAATGGGCAACATAAAGGATCTTTAGGAAATGATTTTAAGAAGGAATAGAACAGTTCAASCTACGTGGAAAAGCTTCTGTAAAGCAATAATGGTTTACAGGTAGATAACTTTATGTGGGAAGGAGGAAGTTTGAACTTCTGCAGCTTCTCAAATGTTACAAAACACAGGTTTTAAGTTGTGTTGTTTGAGCGTGTGTTGTGTCAGAAGATTAAGATCTGTTCCACAATCCTCAGATGTGAAGAGAAATTATAATTTCCATTTTTTAAAAAGATTTTAGTCCAGTAACAAACACCTCTCTATTTTTCATCCCCTTCCAGCCAGAGGATGGAGAAAGAGAGGGAAACTCCTGGCAGAACGTCCAGCAGCTTCATCTGTCCTTACAGAGGTTGCTGCTTTAATTCTGCTGATATGGAAAGCAAGCTTAAGGCTATAAAAATGCTGACTGCACCCTGGATTATCCAGGTTTAGGAACTGTAATAAGCTGTCACTGTAGAAGCTCGGCTAGATTAGGCTCTCTGTGTCTCAAAGCCAGCAAAGCATTTTGTCCCGAGTGGCCTAAAAGCACAAACCAACCCTGGGTGCATTTCCAGGGGCCAGGACAAGCTCTTAAGGAGAGGATGAGGTACCTGTTTTAAGGTGGAAGATGAAAAAAACCTTTGGAATTGCATAGAAATGTGGAGCACAGCACAAATTTATTTGTGTTTTCTGGGATCAGGTCCCCTGTTCTTTAGGAGTCACAAATGTCTGCGTGCATTTGGGAAATGTTTTCTCTGTCAGCCCTGAGAACGATTTCCACTGTGCTTTTCTCCTCCAGCTGTGCAAGGTGTAAAGGTTTGGCTGTTGGCTTCCAGAAGCAGCAGAAAAACAGGAGCTGGCACARCAATTTATGGCGAAAACCAGCCCAAAATATCAGGGCATTTTATCACTGGTTTTAAATTAATTACTCGTAAGGAGCAAAAGAATCTTTGTGCACTTGATTTTTGTGGTGGAGCTCAGTGAAACTCAGCTGCTTATCCCATCTGAAACACAAACTGGAATTTCCCTGAAAGAAAAATGGTTTCAGGCACGGTTTATCCATACCTAAAATCTTCAAGCAACACCTTTTGCTGATTTCTATCTCGGTTTATTCTGAGCCCACAGCGCTGCAAACCTCCTCGGAGCATTCCAGAGCTCCACCATCCCAAAGCGCTTGGAAATGCTCCTTTTCCCAAATTCCTCACCTTTTACCTGCCCGGCAGCTCAGGTTGGAGCCATTCGAGGTTTTCCCAGCAGATGGCAACAGCTCCTCGGTGCGAGGCTGGGAGAGGGGATTTGGCTGAAGGATCCTCGCTGAACGCTTTCTCTACAAATCTGCTTTCACGGCAGCCCCTGTAAGGCACCTCCARGGATCTGACCTTTGCTTTAAAGCAAAATAAAAAGTTTTACTCCATAGGAATGATCCTTCTTCACTTCAGGGTCCTGCTTAGTTCTGCTGTGGTCTAAAAAACAGATTGAGGAGGTTAATTAGAGAATCACAGAATGGTTTGGGTTGRAAGGGACCTTAAAGATCATCTTGCTCCAACCCCACTGACATGGGATGGTTCTGTGTGTAGATTCAGGTGAAGTGACAACTTTAGAGCTACCAAAAAAAATCTATTTTAATTACCACAGTGTAATTGCTTATTGATTCCCCCACCTCATATTTCAGGTTGTAAAACAAATTATCATAAATAGGCATATTCATCTTAATCTGAGTCAGCTCCCACCAAAAAAAAAAAAAACCCAAAAAATAAGCATTTGCAGAAAAGAGAAGCAGTTACAGTTTCAGAATCTATGTCTTAGGATTTCCTCCAGCTAATTGTTCTGGTTATGTTGTCATGCACAATAAAAYATAATTAAAGTAATAAAAAAGCATCGAGGCCTAATATGTAAATGCTGGCCCTGCCATGAATCAGATCTCCCAGGAGCTTTCCCCTCTCCAGGCACAGTACTCAATGTTCCCAAAGTTAAAAGSAGGGAGGGATTTATGGCAGAGAAGATGCAATAGAGAGATATATAATAAATAAATATAGATATATGGAGGCATTCAGTCACTTCATCACCACTGATGACTGTATTGCACACAGCTGCAGACGTGGCTGCTTGTCTTGCACTCCCACACTTTTTTTTTTCCCCCAAGCCTCTATTTTCCCCAAAAGGAAACCAAAAAAGGAAGTATAAATGTCCTGCGTATAGATGTGAAGTATCATGTAGAAAATTATTTCATCCCACGCTTCCCCTCTTTGCTCTGAACTTCATCAAAACAACAAATTCTTCAGGCTCTCAGACAGTCTGCTGGCTTCCTGATCCACGCTCGCTCGGCTCCCAGCAGGAAAAAGCTCCGTGTTCCAGTGGCAGCAGCCTGGATATAGCTTCAGGCAAGGTATGGTCCGAGGGATCTGCTCCCGAGTTTCCAGAGCCTTTTTCCAGCCTTTTTCCAAGTCCAGTGTCCWGGCTTTGAAGTATATCCCGGCAAGATTAATTAAAGGGAAGAAGCGTGGTGTCCTGGATGATTGGGATTAGCTAATAAGGTTATTTTCGTCTGCTGGCATTTGCTGGGGAAGACTGATGTTCCACAAGTTCCTTTGTGCAGAGGGGGCAAGAATTACTGGCAGAGGAGACATCCTGCTTTTCATTCCACATCTGTGCTGCTCACGAGCTTTCATTTCTGGAGGAGTAGCACGGAAGCTTCCTGAAGTTCTGAGATATCAATGTGATTTCCAGGTGGTTGGGAACAAGTTGCTTGTAGCGTCAGGAAAAAAGGGGAATGGCTTCACACTGACAGGTTTAGATGGGATATTAGGAAAAAATATTCCTTGTGACAGTGGTGAGGCCCTGGGACAGAGAAGCTGTGGCTGCCTGGKAGCACCCAAAGCCAGGTTGRAGCAACCTGGGATAGGAGATATCCCTGCCCATGGTAAGGGGTTGGAACAAAATCATCTTTAAGGTTCCTTTCAACCYCAACCATTCTGCGATTCTGTGTGGATTTGAGACAGGCATTTCTGTCTGTGTTGTACGTGGTGGAAATGGCAGGGAATTACAACAAGGCCRTGTTTGTGCAAATGCTCACCTGCTGAAATTTATGCGCCCAAATCCCCTGCGCTGCTCATCTTTTCATGCTGTGGTTTGCAAGGGGAGCAGGAACAGGCCCCTGGCTGCAGTGCTYCTGGAATGCATGTGCAGGGAAGGATCAGCACTCGGATTTATGTTGACCTTAACCTGTAAAAAAAATTCCTAATGAATCGTGTGTGGGAAATGCAGGGAACGCGGGGCTGGACAGCAGAGCAGTGAGAGGCCTGGGAGCAACCAACACAGCCTGGGACAGCCTGAGGCTCCGGCACTGCACTGCTGCTGGCACTTCTACTRTTTTAATTCCCTGTTTATTTATTTTTTTTTTTCTTCTCCAAGTTTCGTCGGTGTCATATTTTCCATGGAGATGGAGGCGCGGGCGCTCCCTTGCCCTCAGCGCTGGTGACACGGCAAAACCGAGCACGGGATGGCTGGGGATGGGGAATGGAGAAGGGAAAAAGGGAAATCTCTTYGGGTTAGAGATCCAGGGTGAGGGAACCCTCCTCGGCAGGGTGAGGGAGGAGTGATTGTGACGGGAAGAGAAGGAAACAGCCCGTGGGTCTGGAAAAGGCTTCCCGAAGGGGAAAGGCCTCAGCACGGACCGGGGGAAGAGGAGGAGAAGGAGGAATAGGAGGGGGAGGAGGAGGAGAAGGAAAAGGAGAAGGAGGGGAAAAGCAGAAGGAGGGGAAAGAGGAGAAGGAAAGAGAGAGAAGGAGGAGGAAGAGGAGGGCGGGCGGCGGAGGGATCCGGCGGCGGGGCGGGGCGGCCGGAGGTACGAGCCCCCCGGAGGCGCCGGGGAGGGGAGGGGAGGGGCGAGCCCGGCCCGGCTCGGCTCGGCGCAGGCTCCCCCGGACGCGCCGCTCCCGCCTCTCGCAGCGCAGCGGGGCCGCCACCGGGCCGTGAGGGGAGAGCAGCGCGCCGGAGCCGGCAGCGGCGGTACCAGGAGCGGAGAGCACAGCGCACAGCACACAGCACACAGCCCGCAGCGCCCCGCTGGGTCCCGGGCCGGAGCGAGAGGCCGAGCGGCGGGGGATGGAGCCCCGGGCCTAGAGCGGCCGCCCTGCCCGACCCCCCTGCGGGCGCTGCACGGGCGGGGGTCGGGGCGGGCGGGCAGCGGGGATGGGCCCGGCCGAGGGCGGGGAGCGCCGCCCGCCCCCCGAGCGCCGCGGCCGCTGAGCCCCGGCGGGGACCGGGACGGGCACGGGCCCCCCGCGCTCTGCCCGGCCGCCGCTTGCCAACGTTTGCTTTTTTTTCCCCGGAGTGCACCGGGCTTGTTTTGCCGTTTCTTTTTTTTTTTGTCGGAGTTTTTTTTCTTGTTGGAGTTTTTTCCTTTATCCCCCACGCCCCACTTCCGTGGTTTGGATACTCTGGGTGACTGCAAGAAGAGTTTTGGAGTTGTTTCGGATTGGGTTTGGTTTTGGTTTTTTTTTTTTTTTTTTTTTTTCGTTCCCTTCTCCTGCCCTTGAACTGAGTTTGTCCTCTGTGCATGCCTCTTCTGGAGCAAGGCTGGATCCTGAACCTCGGTGCATGTGAGGGGCAAAGCCTCGTTCATATTTCTGCAATAAGAGTAAAATGTAAATTGGATAATACGACTTCTTGCCAAAGGCTCCAATGAGTGGCACACAGTCCACAATCACGGACAGGTCAGTATAAAACGAGATTTCTTGGGCTTTTTCTTTTCTTTTTTTTGAAATGTGAGATATTCCCAAAGCTCGTATACTTTGCGTTCTGACTTCAGTCACAGACGGGATCAGAAAAGCGGGATTAAATCAGAGTTTCTGGGAACCGAGGGGGCCTTGACTGTCAAAGCGACTGGGTTAACTTTGAAACCGGAGTATTTCAAGTCCAACAGCTTTCAAGCCTGCCAGGCTGACTTTGTAGGAACCAGGGGTGGTAATTCAACTTGCAGGAGGGGCTGGTGCTGCGARGAACGCCGAAAGCAAGTGTTTCTGCAAGGAGTTTAAGCAGGAAAAGCCACCAGAATTTAGGATACAGCTCAAGCCTGAACTCGGAGACCGTGCTGAAGATGCGCTTGGGTCTCCTTGGGTCAAGTACTGCAGAGAGGTCACTCCAGGTGAGGGCAGGAGGGAGAGTTGACAAGCAGGAATGTCTGCTGGTGTCTCCCTTCGCACTAAACCTGGCTTTAGGTACCTGCTCAGGCCACTGRGCTGCTCTGCAGGTGCCTTTTATTACAGCCTGGGCTTTTACTCGTTKGTACTGGGCTGTTTCAGGAGCAGGGAAAAAAMWRTG